CTTCTTAAAACTGACTAAATATTTAAAAAGAGCCAAAAGAGCCGTCTTAAAGAGTCTTTAAGTCCTTCTTTTGAACGGCTCTTTGAAAGGAACGGATCGCCAAGATCCGGATCCCCTCAAAGAGCCATAAATCCCATCACTACTACTGACTGAGTTTTTGGGCGGTGGGGGTAAACGGGTCCAGGGGGTAGTACTAGCTGATTTTGCTTATTGCTCCTCCTCCCCCCAGTCCCCGCCCATAATTTAAGGCCGTGGCCCTACCCATTGTTTATGACGTCCTCTGGGGAGCCAAAATGAAAGCTTTTACGTCTTCTGCCTTCTGAACGTCCAATATTTGGTCCTGCACTTGTCTTACACGTCCACAGACGTCCGAAAACATCTCAAATACTGAACTGATAATGTCTACGTCCAAGAGGGCTCGCAGTCGGACGCTTAAATGCAGAACACGATCTCCACGTCGTGCACGCAAACAGATACGGTCCTGGGCCGACCGACTGAAACAGACATAATATACACATCTGGCAAACGTTTCATGTTTGCTGGGTAACGATTTTGTAATGCCATGCATTCGGTTACAGTGTAAACGATTATATGCTAAATGCGCGTTAAATACATCAGCACTAAAAGTGAAAATTCAATGCATTAAACGACAGTTTTCAGAAAACTTAAGACGTAATAAAATTCAACCTTCTCCGGCTGCAGTTGTAAGTTTTCTCATTCTCCCCGACAAAAAAAGTCAGGGATATATAAATTGCGGCATATAGATCACCTCAAAAAAAAAAAAACGAAAACAACACCGGCCGCCGCCCTGAAACATGCACACTGACAAAATTACCGGTTTTAAAACTCCACATGTTTATATCACGGAGATAAGGATCTTTACATAATTTTTGCTGTTCTGTCATAGTAAAACAATATTTATGATGTGACTAATTCCCATGTCAAAACAGATCGTCAGCAATTAATTATAGCCTAAATAAGTAAATAAGCAAGCGAAATGAAATTAAAAGCAATCGCTTCATGTTAACTTACCTCGCAGGCACGGCTACGTTACAACAATTTCGGGCAAGCACTTTACACACGCATAGCCACACAGACTACTGTCAAACAGAATTGCGCGAATTACTTACTCTTATTCTGTAATCCTTGGGCTGAAAGCAAAGCCTTATGTACATTACAGACAGTGTTAGCAGAAGAGCGCTCATCCGCGCGGCTTTTCTCACTCCAAAACTGAGAAAGTGGGCCGGAGGACGATGTCACATTGTCCTAGCATACCTCCGGTAGATACTCCGATACTCCGTCTTGCGCCAAAATAAAGCCAACTCCACAGTCAAGTTGTGTTATTATAAATAACTGGTTGGCAGCACTTGAAATGGCGTTCAGTCCTGCATGCCCAGCACCCTCTGTCGTCGATTTATAGCAGAGAGGACGCTTTCGAAAGCGTCTCTGACAACGCGTCTCTTTCCATGCGGCTCAGCATAGTCGTGCTTTTATATATATAGCCTATATATATATATATATATATATATATATATATACACACACATACACACGGTCACCTCTCTGACTTTAACTGTCAAGCCATAACCCATCGCTCTTCACCCGTTATTTCTCGCGCCTTTCCTCTCTCACAATCCATACTTTTTTATCGTTAATAAATACATGCAAGGCATTGAAAATTTACACCCAAATCAAGAATCTCATTTGGCGAATTTAATTAATTTAGGCTACACCTTGTTACCACTGACTGAAGAAACACTTTCACTGTTTGTAATTAAATATTTTCAATAAACTTTGACTTTAAAAAGATATTGAGAGTTCATCCATAAATTTTCTTACTCATCCTGTTCAGAGGAAGAGCCCTATAACTTAGAAATGAAAAACAATGACTAACAAGCCAATTAATCTGTCAAGCATGCTGTTTTTTTAACAGGTACATCTAAAAACAGCACTGTAAAGAAAAAGTTGACAATCTAAAATTTTTTAAGTTTTAAGTTTTGAAGAAAGCCACCTACTGTTGTGACAACTAATTATTTTTTATTCAGGTAATCTATCTTTCATATCTAGAAAAGCTTCTAATTTTTAGTTTCACATGCTAAGAATTACAAAACAGCAAAAGTTGTTTGTAAACTTATTCTCTTTTGTTCATATGATTTATCTTTCATATGCATAAAAACTCGCTTAAACATGCTAGGAATTCAAAACCGCAAAATATGTGCCAACTAATTATTATAAATGAAGATATCAAATCAGTTCAATTAGCATGTTTATTTAAAACATGTCAGTAATAGATACCAGTGGACACCTTTCGAGGTTCCCTGTGGGGAATGACAGCAAGCTTGACTGCGAAGGGCAGCGACCTGTTGTGGTGCTCAGGGAGCTGGGGGTCACAGGCCTTGCTCAAGGGCCCCCACATGTGCTGATACTGGGCTGGAACTGGTGACATTTAGTCTATGTGCAGAGAGGCTTAGCTCAAAAAGCCACATGCTCAGCTGTATGGAATGTAAGCTGAATAAGGTGCTAACGCAAAAACACTGTTTACAGTTTTATAACTGTTCAGAGTTTTTGCAGCATCTTAGTCCCAAGGGGGCAGTATGTAGCTCAGTGGGCTAAACCTCTGTGCCTCTGACCCAAAGACTGCCAGTTCAGGCCCAGCCCATCATACCTTTGGGCTCTGTGTCTGTACGCCTGGGCACTGCAATGGGTGAAGCCTTAGCATGCTAAACTCAAATCTTGAGGTCTTTACACATATGAAAGATAAATCTTAAGAAAAGACAAAAGGTTGGAACAACTTTTGTTGTTCGGAATTCTTAGTATGTACAACTAAAAAAAATGAAGGTTTTATGCATATGAAAGATAAATTAAACGGAAGATAATTACCTGGCATAACAATAGGTGATTTTCTTGGAAGTATGAGTTGCCCTCAAACAGTGCAGGAAGTTGCATTGGAATTTTAAGTTGTCTTGAGTTTTTCTTTTTTACAGTGTGGCATCATCACATAAAATGGGGCAGAATCCAGTAGTTTCTAAATAAAATTCCGCATGAAACATAGCAGGTTCTCGTAAAGCCTAGACCTCTCTTCAGCCAACTGCTACATAGTCAGGAAAATGGTAAGAAATGCTAGTTAGCTAGTTGAGCATTCCTGTCATCACTATCACCACCAGGCACTGACCAATCACAGCGCGGAGGAGGGGGGGGGGGGGGGGGGGGCTGGCAACAGGGCCAGATTTACTGAGGACCCATCCCCCTCCCCCAACGCACTCCTCAGGTCAGGAAATTTTATCCAAGCCTCCCTCTGCCGGCCCATCAGCGTGAGACCTCTGCATCATCATCATCATCATCATCATCATCATCATCATCATTTTCAGCTCTGTTCTCATGGAACCCATCCCTGTTATTGTCCCTAGACCTACACTCTGTGGTTGTAACACCGTTCCTCATTTGCACCTTTATTACATTCATGGCACTTTATCTTGTGTTTGCACCAAGTGTTTGTGTCTGTATGGGCGTGGTGATTTTCTCCCGTTTAAACACTGCAGGTGTGTCCATCACAAAAGCAGACCCAAAGGCAGAGGGCCTTATGTTACCATAAACGTAAAAGAAACATGTTGTACCTTCACAGATCTGCAACGGATCATCTGTTAGACCTTAAGTTACGGCACACACAAGACGGCGGTGTAAGGACAGAACTGTAATTTGTATGAAAACAATTCGTTTTGTGGGAAAGCCACAGGGTGGAATAGGGATTAACATCTCTGGGACTTGGGTCTGAATGTCCACCCTGGCTCCGTGTATATTTGCATGTTCTCCCAATGTCATTGTGGGGTTTGCTCTGGGTCTTAAGCACACTAAGGTGAATTGGGAGTTGCCAGATTGTGTGTGTGTGTGAGAGAGAGAGAGAATGATGGCCTGCGATAGGTTGGCTCCTGATCCTAGGTTTTCCCTGCCTTATGCCCACAGATTCCAAGATATGCTCCAGTCCCCCAGGACTGTGCATAGGACAAGCAGGTGTGGAGCTATTTTAAAATACTTTTAATACTTCCACATTTATGATAAATAGATTTTTTTTCTTCTAGAAAATCAAAATTCTATAAAATGTCGCTGTGATCCCTTTCATGACTCGCTACCTTATGGTGGTGGAGGGGTTTGTGTGCCTACATGATCCAAGGAGCCATGTGGTTGGGGGCACCTGCCCCTGGGCAGGTCTCCTAAGGCACATTGGTCCTAGGTGAGCGGCCAGATTAAGTGCCGTTTATGTTGACCGTTATGAAGAATAAACCCAAGGAGTATGTCACCCCACCCGGAATGGGGAGACCCTCACCCTGGAGCCATGGCTGGGGTGGGAGCTCGAGGGTGAGTGCCTGGTGGCCAGGCCTCCACTTATGGGGCCCGGCCAGGCGAAGCCCGAAGGGATAACATGGGTTTGCCCACCACCTGCAGGGGGAGCCGTGTGGGTCAGGTCGATTGGGTGAATGTCGAAGGCAGGGGCCTCGACAAGACCGATCGCGGGCAACCAAAACTGGCTCCAACCAAAACGTAACCTCTTTGATGGGAAAGGAACCAGAGTTGGTGCAGGAGGTAGAGAGGAGAGAGACACCCGCTCCCGCTGAATTTCTGACCATTACCGCCTGCTCCCACTTGTCTGTCTCTGTCACTCCTGCTTCTCCTGGAAGCTGCGTCCAGCGGAATGTAATTACGATATTGGGAACTATAAGTTGTTGACCATCAAGGAAGCCCTGGAGGAATACCACCACTGGCTAGAGAGGACCGTCCACCCATTCCAGGTCCTGACCGACCATCGTACTCGAGAATACCTGGGGATGGCCAAAAGCCTCAATCCTCGACAAGACAGGCCCTTTTCTTTACTCGGTTGGATTTTAGAGTATCTTATATCCGAGGGAGCATGCTAAGGCCTCGCCAATTTGACCCCAAGAAGCCATCCTGATCCTGCAATCCTCTTGTTTCCATGCCACCCTACATGCCCTCAGCCCTGGTCAACCGCTACCCGCCAACTGCCCGCCGAACAGGCAGTTTGTGCCGGCACCACAACGGCAGGGCGTTACACAATGGGTGCAGACCTCCCTCGGCTCCAGACATCCTGGGGTGACCACACCCACTTGCCTTGTGGCACGGCATTACTGGCGGCTGAATTGGAGGGAGGAGGTGGACCTTCCGCGGTCCCAGGGACATACAGTAATCCTGACCACTATAGCCTGATTCTCTGGGATTTGCAGACTGACTCCCCTATCTAAAGTGCCTGAGTTCCTGAGGAGACCGGGGGCCATAGTTCACTGCATGGGTCTTCCATGCCTTCTATGCACAGCTCAACGTCTTTCTCAACCTCTCATCCAGCTATCTCCTGCAGTGTCGAAGACCCTCCGGCGGCTGTGCGCCAATCGACCAACGCAGTCGGCCCGCTACCTACCCCGGGTAGAGTATGCTAGGAACTCTCAACCCTAGCCAGATACCAGTCTCCCCCCCTTTCAGTACCTCCTGGGGTATCAGCCTCCACTGCTCCGTTGGGACCCTCAGCCCTGTGGGGTCCCCGCAGTAGATGACTGGTTCCAGAGCTGCCGAAGAGTCTGGCGCCACTTACTGGAAGCCAGGCCACATCGACGGAAGCATCAGGCAGACCAGCGTCGACGTCCAGGTCCTACACTGCGGCTGGGTCAGCAGGTCTGGCACTACACTCCGACTCCCAGGGTGCCGTAAGTTGGCGCCTCACTACATTGGTCCTGTCAGGCCCCCCCCCCCCATAAGCTTGCCAGCTGATCAGCGGAGATCGGATGCACCTGGAGATGACCACTAACAAGAGTTGCCACATGCCACTCCAGTGCGAGGTATTGTTGATTCCATGCGACGTACTGAGCGATTCTTCTTTGCCCTCCGTGCAGCCCTGACCCAGTCTACCTGTGGTTCTCCTGTCCCTGTGTGTCCCGCGGCCACGATCTGGCTCGCCAGTTCTGTTTCTGTGTGCCCTCCGCTTAGGAAACCCTTCGCGATTTCAGCACTTTGTGCCTCCTCCAGAGTCCTGCGGCGTGGCAGACATGCACGGAGGCACTGCCCACGAAATGACTAGATTTATGTTGCCACCTGCACTCCTCATTATTGAGTGGGCACAGTATTTGAATGGAAGTCATAAATTAAGGAAACGGTGTTTTCATTCGTTATTTTGGGGCAGCCAAAACAGAAACGACCCTGCCCAATCGGACAATTCATATTCACTAAACAAACAAAGACAATAACAAGTGATGATGACGGTGCACCAACTACAGCAAGTCCGCCACCATTACCCCATGTGGGTAATGAGCTCCACAGAGGTTCTCTGATTAGGCTACTAAACTTCTTGTGTTCTTGTCTTACATTGCTGTTATTGTGCCTTTATGAAATGGAACTAACAGTATTAACTGCCTGCAGCAGTAATAGTAGAATGTTTTTCAAAGTAGCTGTGTTATTGAACGTGCTGCTG